CACATTTGGTTCATTTGTTCCTTTAGCCCCATTACTATTCCACGGCCTATTTCCTCATGTTTCTTCTTCCTCATGTTGCTGTCCACTGAGTTTGCCACATCTAAACACAACTGCAGTCTTATGTACCTTGTCAGCCACCATTATGTCTGATTGGTTGGCCATAAACTGCTTGTCTGTCCCACTGGACATTAACCCTGTTCTCCTCAACCACCTTTGGTCGTGTCTCTCATCGAGAATTGAGGACTTCTAATGCATTTCACAGATGTTGCTGTACATTGCTTGGTCCACAGTTCCCAGCTTGCATCTTACATCCTGCTACTATGTGTTGGCTGGTGCTAGATTCCTGCCTCTCTGGATTTGGTGCTTGTGAGGAGTTTTCATGTCTTGACATCAGTGGCTTCAATCTTCGACCTTTGGGCATCTTTATCATGGTTCCTGTTGACCTGTGGGATACTTAGGTACTTGTAGCTGTCCTGTATGTCTGCTATTCCGCTTTCTGGTAGATCCACTCCTTCAGTCCAGTCCGAAGGAGGATTGTGGTGAAGTGAATCAGTAAGTCAATGACTTGCTCACTCCTGATATACAGCTTGGAAGTCATCCAAGGAGTCGTACCGGAGGAGGCTAATGGTCACTCCAGTCTTGCTAACCACCAACGCACAAACATCCAACAGGAACAACTCAGTACATTTAGGCATGCAGGCATGGTCAAGATGACCTGCTGAAGTTCATACCAAGTACTGAATGTGACTTTAAATACAGCATGGTTATTGGTACAAGACTGGGTGGTCTGAGTATTTCAGAAACTGCTGATCTACTGGGATTTCCCACATAACCATCCGTAGGGTTTGTAGAGAATGGTCCAAAAAAGAGAATATCCAGTGAGCAACATTTCTCTGGGTGATAATGCATTTTTGGTAAGTGATATTTTGTTGGCACACTTTGGGCCCCTTACTACCAATAGAGCATTGCTTAAATGCCACAACCTACCTGAGTATTGTTGCTGACCATGTTCATCCCTTTATGACCACAGTGTACTAATCTTTTGCTGGTTTCTTGTACCAGGATAACTTGTCATATCACATCGCTCACATCATCTCAAACAGTTGACTGCACGCAGATGGCCGCCACAGTCACCAGATCACAATTCAGTAGAATACCTTTAAATTGTGGTTGAATGTTCAGCTGACAAATCGGCAGTAACTGCATAATAGTGTCATGTCAATATAGACCCAATTATGTGGTGAATGCTTCAAGCTACCACTAAAAATTAAGACTGTTCTGAAGGGCGTCCGAGCTGGTACTAGCAAGGGTATACCTAATTAAATGTGGTAGAAATGGTTTTGAATAACATGTCAAACTTCTCTAATCACTATTTATTTCTACCAGTTTGAGTGTATATTCCTAATATGGTCATCTCAGGAACACAGCTCTGTGGATAAGCATAGAAACCCCACTTGCATGACATTTCTCATATAGTTATTTACTCAACATGCATTATGATGTGCTTGTATGTAGTAGCTGTTGTGAAGTGTTCTTCTCTCACCCCAACCGGTCGCAGCAGATGGCCCCGCCCCTCCCTGAGCCTGGTTCTGC